CTGACACTATCTGGCAAAATTTTGTTTGCACTAAATTCAAAGCCACTCGTCAGAATAAATTACTAAGGCTTGCTCATTGTTTATCTAGAGCAGTCATAACAGCTGTCTTCTTTTAAGTACTGCACACAAGATTTAAACAGAACCTGTTTCTGTTCAGGTGGTGACCCACTTTGAACCCCCTGCCTCAAACATTACTGTATGCTTATATTTGCAAACTACCATTAAGGTAACCGTCATTGAGGGTGATTCTCTGGCTGATCTTGAAAAAAAGCTGAGCAGAGTCTGGTCTGGGAGAGCACCAAGAACTCACAAGGCTGAAGACTGGACTATAGAAAAGCTATGTATTTATCATCTACCTGTCCATATGAGTAGTAGTAGTAGTAGTTGTCAGTTGGGAAGTCGTATCTGACCCATCGCGACCCCATGGACCACGTTCCTCCAGGCCTTCCTGTCCTCTACCATCTTCTGGAGTCCATTTAAGCTCCCGCCTCCTGCTTCAGGGACTCCATCCAGCCACCTCATTCTCTGTCGTCCCCTTCTTCTATTGCCCTGGACTGCAAGGCGATCAAACCGGTCAGTCCTAGAGGAGATCAACCCCGACTGCTCTTTAGAAGGCCAGATCCTGAAGTTGAAACTCAAGTACTTTGGCCACCTAATGAGAAGGAAGGACTCCCTGGAGAAGAGTCTTCTCCAGCACCAGAGTTCAGAGGCCTCAATTCTTTGGCGCTCAGCCTTTCTTATGATCCAACTTTCACAGCCATACATTGCGACTGGGAAAACCATGGCCTTGACTATACGTACTTTTGTTGGCAGGGTGATGTCTCTGCTTTTTAGTATGCTGTCTAGATGTGCCATAGCTTTCCTCCCCAGGAGCAAGCATCTTTTAATTTCTTGTCTGCAGTCCCCATCTGCGGTGATCTTAGAGCCCAGGAAAATAAAACATGTCACTACCTCCACTTCATATGAGTAGTAGGCAATGACAAATAATTTGCATTCTCATGCCAAAAAAAATGCTATGATCATCTAGGCTGTTGTCTAACGAAGTCAACAGAATTGAACTTGACTTGAAAAACTGTTTTGCCTTGATTTCTTTTTTATAAAGTCTAGAAATGAAACAAAACGAATGCAGGAGCGAAACAACAGGTTTTAAACCCCGTATAAAATTAACTTCATGTATTAAAGAAGAGTGCCTGGAATACAAGGTGATAGGAGTTAGATAAAATGGCATTACGCGCATTTTAAAACTTTTAAGGCAGTTCACAACCTTCCATACCAGAAATATTAGATTTTTTTTAATGAATTGAAATAATTACGGCATTAACTGGCTAGAAATCATTTTTTCCCCCTCTCTTCTTTTTAGTAAATCTACACGCGGTAGTAGAGAATGCTGATTAGAAAATGGAATTCAAAGTCTGTGTGTCTGAATTTTGTAATGTGTGATACTTCCTTTACAAATATGCCAATAATCTGTTTCTTTATTCTAGACTCTGGTTAAAAAAAAACACCACTCTAAACACACTGCTTTTCTTTCACGATACGCTCTTCCTCCCAGAATTATAATAATCCTCCTGATATTTGATCAGTAATAGCAGATAACTTACATTTTATTTACTAACCAGATGGCTTGACAAAAATGAGGATGACGGCCAGATTGTTCGAGAGCTGATTCCAGATGGGAGATCGTCTATGCTGGAAAGTGAGTTTGCTTTGTTATCAACATATAAGGAACGGTTGCTGGAATTGGGAATGTCCAGTTTAATGAAGAGAAGGACGAGGGGGGACAGGATAGCAGTGTTCCAGTATCTCAGGGGCTGCCCCAAAGAAGAGGGAGTCAAGGTATTTTCCAAAGCGCCTGAAGGCAGGACAAGAAGCAACAGATGGAAACTAATCAAGGAGAGAAGCAACCTAGAACTAAGGAGAAACTTCCTGACAGTTAGAACAATTAACCAGTGGAACTACCTGCCTCCAGAAGCGGTGAATGCTCCAACACTGGAAGTTTTTAAGAAGAGACTGGACAGCCATTTGTCTGAAATGGTGTAGGGTTTCCTGCCTGAGCAGGGGGTTGGACTAGATGACCTCCAAGGTCTCTTCCAACTTTATTATTATTATTATTATTATTATTATTATTATTATTATTATTATTATTATTTCTATTGGCTGAATCACATCCCCTAACAGATGCCAAAAAGACATTTCTATCCTGTTGAGTTCACCACTGCTCAGTTTGTTTTAATTCATGATAAAATTCTTTCAGAGATTTATTTATCTATTTTCTTATCTATGTGTGGAGTTCACATAGTTACTATCATCATATTATATACCGACTATATCGTCCAACATGCTTAATCAATGGACTTAAAAAAAATAGTGGCTGTATTCAAACAAGCTCGGTTAGTAATCTTCATCAGGGTCCAGTCCAAGCCGGGAATAAACAACATGGAGACTGCTTTAGAAAGAAGGTTGTAGTTTATTCCCGGCTTGGACTGGACCCTGGTGAAGATTACTAAGATTACTATGTCTGGTTTAATGAAGAGAAGGATGAGGGGTGACATAACAACAGTCTTCCAATATCTGAGGGGCTGCCACAAAGGAGAGGGGGTCAATTTATTCTCCAAAGCACCTGAAGGCAGGATACAAAGTGATGCATGAAAAATAATCAAGAAGAGAATCAACCTAGAACTAAGGAGAAATTTCCTGACAAAACAATTAACCAGTAGAACGACTTGCCTCCAGAAATTGTGGGTGGCTCCATCACTGGAAGTTTTTAAGAAGAGACTGGACAACCATTTGTCTGAAATGGTATAGGGTTTTCTGCCTGAGCAGGGGGTTGGACTAGAAGACCTCCAAGATCCCTTCCCAAACCTATTATTCTGAACCTGTATTAAGTATGTTATTGTCTCAGAGAGTGGTATATTTGTTTCCTGCTTTGGTCAGCCAGATGTTCAGACTGGATTTGGCATTTTTGTCTACCTATCGAGTCCTTCTCAAGGACCTGGGATAGGCAGATGTGGATGTTTGATGGTATTACAGACATCGTCGCAGGATAGAAGCAGTTCCTAGTAAGGCCGCCTTTTGCAATTGACTGATGGCGAATTTGTCAATGCCGATGATGGTGTTCAAGTGGTGCTCCAGTTATTTTGGGATTGCACCCAAGG